ATACCTTGGGTACCCCGTAGAACCACCTCCTCTCCTCCCGCTGAACCCATGGAGCTTGGCCTCATCAGAGGTCCCATATCACGGGATGAAAGAGCCAGACGCAGGAACCAGAACCTCTGCATGTATTGTGCTGCAGCAGACCACCTAGTGGACGAATGTTCCGCTGTAAGGAGGAAGAATGCAGGTAAGTCTCCTCGCATGAAGTCTCAGGAGGCCTGTGGGGGTCTCAGGTGAGCTGTGCAAAGTCTCTGGTGGGCTGTGCAGAGTCCCAGGTGGGCTGTGGGGGTCTCAGGTTGGGCTGTGCAAACTAATAAAATATTATTCACAATAATATGTATTTATTTTATAATTTTTTTACTTTTTATAAATGTTTTTATTTTTTTTAATTTTAATTTAACTTTTTTCACTTAACTTTATGGCTATCACACAGGGATAACACGCCCCTGTGTGATAGCATTCAGAGGTGACAGGTTCTCTTTATGAACGTGCCCTCCAATAGAAAGGATTCAGCACATGTGGCTGTACAGCCACTCAAATCACTTGTGCAAAATGGCTCCCCCTCTCCTTCGGACAGCAGGGCTAAATGTAGAAAAAAACAACAACTGCCCGGCACCCGGGAACTGCATGTCCTGGGTGTTGGGCGATCGGAATTCTGCACCCCTGCAGTCGCGCCCCTTCAGACTGCGCCCTCCCCCCCCAACCCTCGCTACACCACTGTACAAGAGGCCACCACCTGAAACTGAAAGATAAAAGGTTTAATCTTGAACAGCGAAGGGGATTCTTTACTGTGAGAGCTGTAAAATTGTGGAACTCCCTTCCACAGACATTGGTTTGAGCAGAGAGTATGGAATCATTCAAGACCCGTCTAGATATTCTTCTAAGAGAGCATGATATACAGAGGTATATCTGTGCCCTCCTTACATTGGTGGTCAGTGTCTGTGCCCTCCTTACATTGGTGGTCGGTGTCTGTGCCCACCTTACACTGGTGGTCAGTGTCTGTGCCCTCCTTACACTGGTGGTCAGTGTCTGTGCCCTCCTTACACTGGTTCCTCACTGTATCCAAAGCTAAAAATAGGTTTTGCCTAGACTAGAGATACTGTATACTTTAAAGATCAGATAATAAACATAACACCTCACTGTTTTCAGTAATGTGACTACTATATGAGGATGAGCCTCTGATCGCTATGTGCTAAATAGACTGGGGGAATTTATCAAAACTGGAGCAGTTGCCCACACTAATCAATTATCTTGTTTTATTCAGTTAATCTTTAAAAATGAAACAGAGAAGCTGATTGGTTGACATAGGCAACTGCTCCAGACAGAGGCATAACTAGAACCTTCAGGCCCCCGGTGCAAGAAACCATGAAGGCCCCCCCCCCAAGGCACCGCATGTTAACAGGAAGGCTGCCGAGGTCCCCAGCAAGCGCGGGACCCCAGACAGCCGCTTGTTTAAAATTTTAGTGCCGGTGTTCTGTCGAGAACGCTGACACAGTATCTGCTCTTACAAAAAGATTGGATTAATGAGGAAACTGGCACTTATTTACAAAGTATTTGTTTGTAATTGTTAATTGTGACCGTTAATAATATACCGTCCATGGCAGGAAATGATGGATGGCAGTGAATTATTGATGGAATATTATTAACAGTCACAATTAACAATTTAAACGAAATACTTTGTAAATAAATCCCTGTTTCCTCAATAATACTGGTCTGTGCGCAAGCGCAGATGCTGAGGTCGGCATGAATTCGACTACGTCGGCGTTCTCGACAGAACACCAGTATCTGCATTTAGTATCGGGGCATTTTCACGAATATGAGTACTGAAAATGCCCAGTATTGGCATTGGTGTATCCCTACTTAAAAATATAATGCATTGCTTGTAGTCCTACATAGTTGGAGCTATTCTGCATTGCTGTATAATCATCATACAGCAATGCAGAATGCCACCAGCTATGTGGGACTACAAGTCCCAGCAATACGTTATAATAAAAGTCAGCTATGCAGAATACCACCAGCATCCCCCCCCCCACCACTATAATGCATTGCTGGGACTTATTGTCCTACATAGTTGGAGCTATTCTGCATTACTGTATAATCATTATACATCAATGCAGAATACCACCAGCTATGCGGGACTACAAGTCCCAGCAATGCATTATAATAAAAGTCAGGTATGCAGAATACCACCCCCCAACCCTCGCTACACCACTGTACAAGAGGCCACCACCTGAAACTGAAAGATAAAAGGTTTAATCTTGAACAGCGAAGGGGATTCTTTACTGTGAGAGCTGTAAAATTGTGGAACTCCCTTCCACAGACATTGGTTTGAGCAGAGAGTATGGAATCATTCAAGACCCGTCTAGATATTCTTCTAAGAGAGCATGATATACAGAGGTATATCTGTGCCCTCCTTACATTGGTGGTCAGTGTCTGTGCCCTCCTTACATTGGTGGTCGGTGTCTGTGCCCACCTTACACTGGTGGTCAGTGTCTGTGCCCTCCTTACACTGGTGGTCAGTGTCTGTGCCCTCCTTACACTGGTTCCTCACTGTATCCAAAGCTAAAAATAGGTTTTGCCTAGACTAGAGATACTGTATACTTTAAAGATCAGATAATAAACATAACACCTCACTGTTTTCAGTAATGTGACTACTATATGAGGATGAGCCTCTGATCGCTATGTGCTAAATAGACTGGGGGAATTTATCAAAACTGGAGCAGTTGCCCACACTAATCAATTATCTTGTTTTATTCAGTTAATCTTTAAAAATGAAACAGAGAAGCTGATTGGTTGACATAGGCAACTGCTCCAGACAGAGGCATAACTAGAACCTTCAGGCCCCCGGTGCAAGAAACCATGAAGGCCCCCCCCCCAAGGCACCGCATGTTAACAGGAAGGCTGCCGAGGTCCCCAGCAAGCGCGGGACCCCAGACAGCCGCTTGTTTAAAATTTTAGTGCCGGTGTTCTGTCGAGAACGCTGACACAGTATCTGCTCTTACAAAAAGATTGGATTAATGAGGAAACTGGCACTTATTTACAAAGTATTTGTTTGTAATTGTTAATTGTGACCGTTAATAATATACCGTCCATGGCAGGAAATGATGGATGGCAGTGAATTATTGATGGAATATTATTAACAGTCACAATTAACAATTTAAACGAAATACTTTGTAAATAAATCCCTGTTTCCTCAATAATACTGGTCTGTGCGCAAGCGCAGATGCTGAGGTCGGCATGAATTCGACTACGTCGGCGTTCTCGACAGAACACCAGTATCTGCATTTAGTATCGGGGCATTTTCACGAATATGAGTACTGAAAATGCCCAGTATTGGCATTGGTGTATCCCTACTTAAAAATATAATGCATTGCTTGTAGTCCTACATAGTTGGAGCTATTCTGCATTGCTGTATAATCATCATACAGCAATGCAGAATGCCACCAGCTATGTGGGACTACAAGTCCCAGCAATACGTTATAATAAAAGTCAGCTATGCAGAATACCACCAGCATCCCCCCCCCACCACTATAATGCATTGCTGGGACTTATTGTCCTACATAGTTGGAGCTATTCTGCATTACTGTATAATCATTATACATCAATGCAGAATACCACCAGCTATGCAGGACTACAAGTCCCAGCAATGCATTATAATAAAAGTCAGCACTACAGAATTCCACTACTACCAGCATCCCCCCACACACACTTTCCCGCGTCCTCCTCCTACCACCCCGCCACCCCCTTCCCACTCCAGACTTACCTTCCGTCTCCTGCAGGGCCCTCTTCCTCGTCTCCGCGGCCAGGGGGCGGGTCTAAGAGGAGAGGGTCCTCACAGCAGAATGTGCTGCCCGGCGGTGCCTGCAGCACATTCTGACCAGTGACAGCCTCTCCAGCCCTGCCGCACAGCCGCCCGTACATGCTGCGGGTGGCAGCGTGGCAGGGAAGGAGCAGCACGATTGGAGGGGCCCTCATATTCCTCGCTGGGCCCCCCCAAGTGGCGGAACCACATGGCCCGGTCGCAATTGTGACCACTGCGACCCTGGTAGTTCTGCCAGTGGCTCCAGATTCAATTTGCTCCAGTTTTAATTAAGTCCCCCATAGGGTTGCCACAGTCCTGTTTTCACAAGGGCAGTCAGGTTTTGGAGTCTTGTGTCCAGGTGTCCAGCCAGCCAGTTATTCAAATAACAAATGTCAATTTATTTGGACAACTCGTCACAGTCAAGAAAGCAACGTTTCGGGGCCGCACAGGGTCCCATCATCAGGGTAATGTGACAAAGCCCACCTGATAGTTGCACAGCCCACTCAAGTGTCGCACAGCCCACCTGAGAGTCACACAGCCCACCTGAGAGTCGCACAGCCCACCCGAGAGTCGCACAGCCCACCTGAGAGTCACACACCCCATCTAAGAGCCCGCACACCCCATCTAAGAGCCTGCACACCCCATCTAAGAGCTCGCACAGACCACCAGAGGCATCAGGGTGCCAACCTAGAACAGCAGAGTATGTCGCTTCATATTATTTTGTAGTGCTGTATAATGTATTGCTGGGATTTGTAGTCCTCTATAGCTGGTCTCCATACTCCCTCAGTGCCAGAGTGTTTGGGTTTTACTTGAAGAAAAGGTGGCAATCCTAGTCCCTCCACTGTTATTCCTTCAGACGATTTCTACCACAGATCTTCTGTCTGATATCGTCTTTTGGTCATTATTATTATAATACAGAATTTCTATAGCGCCAAGAGTTTGCGCAGCGCTTTAGGTCATGAGTTATGTTTCCTGCACCATGTCGGACACATCTATCTTTGGACATTCATTACAATAGAAAACCTCACTCCCCTAAATGGAACTATTTACACGAGAGAAATTCGTGTTATTGTTTACAACATCTGAAGTATTACACTGTGTTTAAGCGCAATTCTCTCTGTACCACAGTAACTTGTGACTATGGAGGACTTGCTACACAGTACATTACGGTACTGGGCGAGTGACTGTGCGCCGCTATCACATGTATTATAGCTATGGTCCCGTAAAGGTCACATGATTCGTCATGGCGGCTGAGATACACTCCCGGTCTCCGCACGGCCCTGTTCTTCTCACCAAGATACCCGGGCACCGGGAGCAGGTCACCTCCGCCTGCCTCATCCCGCGAGAGGACGGCGTGATCACCGCCAGCGAGGACCGGTAATTATTCAGGGCGGAGGAGGCCACACACCTCAGTGACAGACGGGGGAGCGCACATCAGTCTCTGACGTCACGGCCCCCTGGAGAGTGACTCTTCCCTGCAAGTCCGTTACTGCATACAGTGACACCGACTGCCCTTTCCTGCATGGGGGACACAGACTGCCCTTTCCTGTATAGGGGGAACACACAGACTGCCCTTTCCTGTATAGGGGGGGCACACAGACTGCCCTTTCCTGTATAGGGGGGCACACAGACTGCCCTTTCCTGCATAGGGGACACACAGACTGCCCTTTCCTGTATGGGGACACAAACAGACTCCCCTTTCCTGCATAGGGGACACACCAACTGCCCTTTCCTGCATAGGGGACACACAGACTGCCCTTTCCTGCATAGAGGGTACACACAGACTGCCCTTTCCTGCATAGAGGGTACACCCAGACTGCCCTTTCCTGCATAGAGGGTACACCCAGACTGCCCTTTCCTGCATAGGGGGACACACAGACTGCCCTTCCCTGCATAGGGGGACACACAGACTGCCCTTTCCTGTATAGGGGGGGCACAGACTGCCCTTTCCTGTATAGGGGGGGGCACAGACTGCCCTTTCCTGTATAGGGGGGGGGGACAGACTGCCCTTTCCTGTATAGGGGGGGCACAGACTGCCCTTTCCTGTATAGGGGGACACACAGACTGCCCTTTCCTGTATAAGGGGACACACATACTGCCCTTTCCTGTATAGGGGGGGCACAGACTGCCCTTTCCTGTATAGGGGGGGGCACAGACTGCCCTTTCCTGTATAGGGGGGGCACAGACTGCCCTTTCCTGTATAGGGGGACACACAGACTGCCCTTTCCTGTATAGGGGGACACACATACTGCCCTTTCCTGTATAGGGGGGGCACAGACTGCCCTTTCCTGTATAGGGGACGCACAGACCGCCCTTTCCTGCATGGAGGGGACGCACAGACCGCCCTTTCCTGCATGGAGGGGACGCACAGACCGCCCTTTCCTGTGCACAGTCTGCCTTTCCTCCAGCGCACAGAGGGGACGCACCGTCTGCCTTTCCTCCAGCGCACAGAGGGGACGCACCGTCTGCCTTTCCCTAAAGAGAGGGACCAACACTGCCATTCCCTACATAGAGCACACATATACTGCCCTTCCCGTGCCCTTCCCTTCTAGCCTTTTACTACATAGATGACCTGCTTCTTACTTCCTTGTCTCTAACCACTTGTTTGTGTAGCAGATTCTCCATCTTGTTCTTGTAAATGGTACGAAAGGCTAAATACATAGATAAAATACTTACCCGGGACCTGTTTTATCTGCCAAAGGATTTGTATTTCTGTCCATCCAGTTCTGACATTTAAACAGCATTAACACTAAACGCAGCCCTGCCTGGCAGGAGATTACACATAATCCTTCTCTGCTGCAGTTTCACAATTCAATTTACAGGTCTTTTTAACACCGTCCACCCTGTCACTGGACAGTGAAAGGAGAAGCAGCAGAGGTAGCACGCCTGTGCGGAGTCACAGCTAGAGCTCTCCAATCAGCAGGGTGCATGAGCTTTGATCAATATTTGTGCACTTTTGACAGTAACTTTTTTTTTTGTCTGCCATCTCCTGTTTTTTATCGGGAAGCATTGCTGAAAGTGTCTTTCATGTCTTTTCATAGCGGAAGAGATATTTTTAGACACAGCCATCCACTGACTGGCAAATAACGCTCTACTTCCGCTGCAGTTCACTGATGCTTATTTTACCCTTTCACTGCCAAGGCGTTTGTTTGCTCACATGTTATAATCCACATTTTAGTCCAAGAGTTGTATATTTCCTGAAAGCAAAGACCCTGTAGTATAAAATGGCGGCAGTTGCAAATGTTTACGTTGCATTATATCAGCTCAACTCCTTATCAAACCCAAAATTTCAGTAAAAATTACACTAATAAGTTAATTTTAGTACTCAGAAACACAATATCATATTTTTATTTTACATTTGAAAGATGAGGTCATGCTAAGTAATTAGATACCCAACATGCCAAGGTTAAAGGCGACAAATAATGGTACCCCAAATTGTCCATAGGCGGCGTTTTAAAAGCCTGTACAGGTCATCATATTGGCCCTAGAATTATTGCTCTCACTCTGGCGCATGCAGCGATACCCAACATGTGTAATGCAATCGTCATTTTTGTATGTAGGTGCACCTGACGCGTGTTTACATTACTATGCATGGGTGGGAGAAAACTTTTTTTTTGGTATTTTTAAATTTTTCTTTTTACACTTCATTGCTGTCACATAGGGGGAAGCTCACAAGCCCCCCGGGTGATAGTATATTAGTGGTGACAGGTTCTCTTCAAGGTGACATTAAGGGTCTGTTAGACCCCCTAGTTTCACCTTTCCACTTCAAAGATGATATTGGAGCGCAGATCACGCTCCAATAGCTCCCTCCCCGGCTTCTGGGGAATGACAGCTGAGGAACCGGAAGTGATGTAATTGGTGTCGCTTTTGACTTCATTCGGCAGGGAGGTGATCGGCAAACAGATGTTCGCTGGTCTCTCTCCACTCTACCTACTGACACCTGTGGTGCTGGTCCAGTGGCCAAAGAAGAATGGTGGGGGTGGGGGCAGGCTTCACCGGCCCTTGGAACTGATTTGGCAGCAGCTCAACCACCGGAATGGCTTCCAGTGTAAAGCTGACCATTGGCTTTACACAACAAAACAGACTCCTGGTGGGAGCGATGTACATAAAACTTTGCTGGCAGCGATGGGGTTAAGCTAGATGAGGCAAATGTGGTTGGCCAGTGCTTTGTTATTGCCTTTTATGACAATTACTAATGACCACTATCATCTACAACAATGTGATGCTTTAGGGCATGTTCACACCTGTGCCTTGCAGTAACACACTGTAAAACGTGTTTTATCATGCACAGCAATGCATGTACTACAGTACACCGCATTGTATAGCTGTTCATTTTATATAGCATCCCAATGCACTGTGCACCTGCATTGTAATGCACCGCAGTTCACAGATGTGAATGATCTTTGCATTGCATTAAAACTGGCATTCAGCACTTTGGTGTATTGTGGTCAATTCAACATGAATGGGCTTCTTATTGCAATGCATGTGCAACACACATAAAATGCATGTATGAACAGATCCTTCCACTGAGAATCTTTGGCTCCTCAAGTTTTCATTAACAACATTACTGCAGACACAAAGATAGTTTTCCCAGCCCTGATTCCAGTACAGCATATACCTGTCCTGCCAGAATGATAAATGATCTCGCGAGATGTGACTATTACACAATTCCTCCTGTGTTATCTGTGGTAATACTTCACAAATAGGGAAGACTATGTCTTCCTGTGTCGCCTTACTCTTTGTAACTTGGCTGCCTACTAAAAATAGCATTCTGCAGTGGAGTTTAGCCTTGTAAAAAGTTCAGCATTTTAGCATTACTTAAGGACGGGATACAGATTGGGATTTTAGGGAAGGAATAATACATTTGTTACTTTTAAACTAAATTTAAAGTGACATTAAACTCAGGGGTCAAATTTTAAAAAGGCATTCAAGTACCTTAACCCTTTCGCTGCCAAGCCCTCCGGAACATTTTTCAAATCAGCTGGCCAAGCCATTTTTGAGAACGTCCTTGGCAGCGAAAGGGTTAAAGTGGACCTTTACATTCAAAAATCTAATTCAATGCATCCCTCTATGTATGATGATTAATAATAACATAGACATGTCAGGTGTAAAATGCTGTGATATTGAAATACTTACACTTGCAGAGCATTCACTTCCTGCTTTCAAAGGGCAAAATGACTTTGCCAAAGCAATGCACACTGGGATTTCCTTGTCATCCGCAGATCATTGATGGGAAATCTCATGAGATCTCAGGGAAAGGCATTTTTCTCCCCTGAGATGATGTGCATGGTCACATGTCCTAGTCACATGTCTAGTCACATGTGCCAGAAATCCAGGAAGTAAAGGAGAGCTGGTAATCTGCCCTTAGTAAACATGGCCACTGTCAGAAGACTGGGGAAGAAAAGATAAATAAGATATGCAAAGAATACAAAGCCGGCAATTATCTAGAAGTATGTGTGTGTAGATTGTCATTGCTAAAAGGTGTCTTTGTTGTTATTTTATAGATATGGGTAATGGTCCGTTTTAACTATTAACAAAAATGTATCTTATTTGTGTATCACTTGGCTGTAGATCCTCAAATCATCTCTAAATTGGTGCTGACACTGTCCTTACTTCTGTAGGGTGGCTACTTTTGTTCCCCATGGTCCCTGTGTGTGTTGTAAAGTAGCCACCGCTCCAAGCTCACTCCTGTGATGGACTAAAATCTCTTGTTTAGTTTTCTAATTTGTCACCGGTACTAAGAAAAGATGTCCTTGAGTTGGAAAAAGTCCAGCGGAGGGCAACCAAACTAATTAGGGGTATGGAGGACCAGAGCTACGAGACAAGGCTACTAAATTTAAACATGTTCACATTGGAGGTGAGGAGATTAAGGGGGGATATGATTTCCATGTACAGGATGTTCAATGGTGGTAGCAACATTAGCGATAAACTGTTTAAAATTAACTCCGTTACAAAAACTAGAGGCCACCACCTAAAATTGGTGGAAAAAAAATTCCAGCACAAGGGGCGAAGGGGGTTCTTCACAGTAAGAGCGTTTAGGGTCTGGAACTCACTGCCACAGGCGGTGATTTCAGCAAAGAATGTGGAATTGTTCAAGAAACTTTTGGACGATTTCTTAAGGGACCGTAATATACAGGGGTACGGGTACTCCTAGAATGAGATCCTAATAGGTTGGACTTGATGGACTAATGTCTTTATTCAACCTCAAATACTATGTAACTATGTATTGAGATTGTAGTCCATCATGGGGCCATTGGGAACACAAGTAGTTACCTTCCAGAAGGAAGGGCAGTGGCCCAGTCAGAGAAGGTAAATAAGTTTTGTGTTTACGAGGCTTGTGTATCCTGTAGTAATTGTGTTTTGGTACTTCTTTATAC